AGATGTAATAAAATAGTTGTTGTTTTAAGCTACTAACTTTGGGGATCGTTTGTTACTCAGCAGTACACAACCAGAACAATGTCTGTCTCTCTCAGTAGACGGTATTTGGCTCACCAGTAAGTCCTCAGACCAGCACAAAGTAAGCACTGCCCAGCGTGTGCTGAGTGGCTAATGCCACCGTCCTCTTTGCTTCTGTGCAACATAACACGTCTTGCCAAACTGACCTGGGCCTCAGTCCTAGAAAAAGGCTAATTCCCTCACACCATTTTCAAGGTGACAAATGGCAGAGAAGGGACAGCATTGGGAGCAGTGACACTGCACCGTGAGATCCCAGCACTGCCTGTCTCATCGCGCTGGCCCGGAAGCCACACTCTTGGAAGCAGGCTGTGTGATGTCTCCATCTGACAGAATGAGGGCAGGGAAGGTGTGTGCTCCAATGTGCACTGCTGGGATTACACATGCTGGGCCAGACCTCCCTCCAGGCCTCAGGGACTCTGGGGCTCACGGCTCTGGCTTCGCACACCTGCCAGCACCTCCTTCCTGTCTCTCAGTCCTCTGGGACTGAAAAAACCCTTGCAACCTTCGTTCCCTCCATCACTGAGCACCTGGGTAACTTCCCAGACACAGGCTTCTGTCAAAGCATCCCCACCTGCCAGGCATAGAGGGCCACGTTGGGGGTGAGGGGGTGAGGAGCGGGGTGGTCAAACTCCAGGGCACCGGATTTGCAGGTAGCTGGCTACTGCTACCCTTAGAATTCCAAACCGAGTTCCACCTGGGCGTTCCCACTTGCTCCCAAGAAAACATCATCTCTATCCAGCCTCGTCTGTTCTCTTCCTCCTGAGATTGAAGCACAAGGACCTCCTAGCTCACAGCCCAAAGTCTTCGTTATAATAATTCTTATTACTCTCACAGCTAATGCTTACAAAGCACTTCTATAATCCAGGCACTTCTCCAAGCACTTTACACAAATTACGTCACAAGCATCTATTGCCCCAGATTCATTCTGGTCTGAGTTTGTAGTTCTGTATGGTTGACCCAAGCTTGTTGGAGCAACTGCACAATTTGCAGAGCCCAGGGCAAAATGAAAACGTGAAGCCCCTTGTTCAAACATTACCAAACATTTCAAGATGGCAACAGCAGAGCATTAAACTGCCATTCACACAGTGGTCTAGAGTGCACGGTCTGCCCTGCCCAGCTGTATGTGGCAACCCTGCTCCCCACTTCCAATTCCAGCTCCCAAATCTCCCTCCCCCCATTTTCCATGGGGCATCCAAAGTAATCTTAAAACCGTTAACAGCTAGCATGAATTCCTGACTGGAAACCTTCTAATGGGTCCTCATTGCCATCTAAATAAACCCAAAGTCATTATCACAGTCTGCAGGCTCTCCATCAGAGCTTCCCAGCCCAGAAGCTGGAGCACACAGTAGGGCCAAATGGGTCACAGGTTTACCGAGATCGGGTTACTCTCAGCCCTAGGGGCAGCCAGGTGTGGCCCCAGACAAGTGGACACTCCAGGCTCTGTCTCAGCTTACTCTGGCTCTGTCTGTGTCCTGCACAATCCCAAGGAAAGGCATCCCCTTAGAGCATAATATGGAGAGGGACCTTGGGGTGGGGCAGGAGACACCCTGGCTGAAGCCTCGGGCTGGGTACCTCCAACCGCCAGCAGCTTCCGTGGAGTTCCTTGGAAATGGGGCACAAATATCATTAGTTTCCTTGTGTGACACCACACAGGAAAGGTGGGAACTCACTGACCCAAGTGATCGGACCCCACACGACATTGCTCCCCTCTTCCCTACTCTCCCCGCAGCTCCACTGTCCAGAATTGCTCTTCCTGGAACACCACAAGCTTGCTCCAGCCTTCGGCCCTTTTATGCCCCCTCTGTCTGGAAAGCTTTAGTCTCCACATGGCTGGCCCCTTCTTGTCATCTGGGTCTTATTTCACCTCCTCAACAAGGCCTTCCTGACCTGACCACTCTGCACCGCATCCCTGGTTCTGTTCCGTCCCTAGCCCTTACTGTCTCTGACTTCATCTTGCTCACGGATCGTCTCCTTGCTTGCTGACCGGCTCCCCCATCTAGAATGGAGTTCCACGAGAGCACAAGAGTGTCTGCCCATTCTCACCAATGCCCCTG